CTATTATTTATATATATATATATATATATATATATATATATATACATTTTCATGTTGTTTTTTTAGTATTGTGTGGACTTTTTAATTGTGTGGATAAATGTAATTTATCAAAAATGACAGTAAAGACTTTAAGCATTCTTTTTAAGAATTATATTTCAGCAAATAAATGCTGTTCTTTTGAACTATTCATCAAAGTAGATACCTAAAAAAATGTTATCAATGGTTTCCACTAAAATATTAAGCATTTTCAACATTGATAACAAATGTTTTTGAGCACCCATAATAATGATTTCTGAATGATTACGTGACATTTTTTTAAGATCAAGTGAACATTTCATTTTAAAATATATTAAAATAGAAAACGGTTATTTCAAACTGTAATAATATTTCACAATGTTGATTTTTTTTTATCAAATAAATGCAGCTTTGGTTAGCATAAAAAGGCTTTTTCAAATCTTACTGACTTCAAACTTTTGAACCATAATGTATGCTAAAGAGTAAGAGACCAATACAAAGTGGGATGTAAACCTGCAGTCTGAGCTCTTGGACTTTGAGGCCATGTGTGTCTAAAGCTTCTAATTCTCTCTTCAGGTGAGACTCCAGTTGCTCCAAGAAACAAGGCTTGGAAAGAGATCTGTAAGTAGACATTAGACAGGCACATCATAAAAGTAGACATTAGGATCAAAGTATGCAATGGACATGGAAAAGATGCCTAAACCATTTTAAAGTTTTACAACTACTGCAGTTCTAAAATGAACACTGAGATGCTATGTGTTGTACTTGCCATACCCATGGCCATGATGTTTTATTTCTCTGGGCTTTTGGACAATTTGATTGGGAACTTCAGCAGGCCGGGATGAAAGGTTACCAGAGGTTTCCCACGCATTGGTCTGAGGGAAATTAGAGTTGATTTGGCATTATTTGGTATGTGATGGTGGTGTCAAACACTACAAATTAAATCTCTTTTTAGGGGGAAGTCGTGGCCTAATGGTTAGAGAGTCGGACTCGTAACCCAAAGGTTGTGGGTTTGAGTCTCGTACCGGCAGGGATTGTAGGTGGGGGGAGTGAATGTACAGCGCTCTCTTCCACCTTCAATACCACGACTGAGGTGCCCTTGAGCAAGGCCCCAACTGCTCCCCGGGCAGTGTTGCCAACTAATTTTCAGGGGAAGTTGCTAAAGGAAGGTTGATTTGTTGCTAAATGATGTTGTGATGACATTGCGTGATGACGTCATTACGTAATCACGATGCAAAATTGTGTCAAATCTCAGCAAAAACATATTTATATTTTATAACTATAAATAACTATTTTTAAATCCATTGAATTATCGAAAACGTACACATTTTTGAACGATTACAATTTAAGTTGTATACTTTAAAGCAGTTTATTAGTAGTTAGTTCGTATGCTGCACTCTAAGAAAAGTAAAGAAATAATGTACAATCTACTGTGTTAGTATGAAGGAATTTTCTGGATTGATTTTTCCACAGGTTTTTGTACCTGCATTTTTAATTACGCATTGTATTTTGTGTTTTCGGGTTACAACGGGTAACGGATAATGTCCTGGAAAATTACTAGCACCTTTTCCATTTTTCTGCATATTTTTCTTACAGTGTACTGTGTAAGAAACAGTGTAACTCATCAACAATCGCAGGTACAAGCTACTAACAAAGTGTCTCATAAATGAAAAAGAACAGTATTCAATTATTATTATTATTACTATTAAACAATTGCAAATAGCAGCTAACTTAATTCCTGTAACGTGTGTACTGCTAGGCATCTTTGGTTTCCTCTTTTTGTGTAATTGAAATGGTAAATTGTGCCATTTTATCGTTTGAGTCACTTATCAAAAGTTGCTAAAAGCTGCCAAATAAATTTTAAAAAATAGCTAAATTTGTTGCTAGGTGCTTTTGGAAGAAAAAGTTGCTAGGGTAGTCTGAAAAGTTGCCACATTTAACAACAAAATTGCTAAGTTGGCAACACTGGCTCCGGGTAAGCAGAATTTTTAAGTAACGTTATATGCTGCTAAATCAAAGTCACTCTTTATTTACTTATATATTTACTGTTTTATTCAAGTTTGACCAGCTAATAGTATAGATCTATCTGTAAATTAGCTATCAGATATTTGAAATACTATCAAATATGATTTTTTAATACCTTACTTTTATCAACTTTGACTTAGATATCCTGCTAGAATTGTGTCTCTGCCTCCTCTGCTAACAGAAAGACATGCAGCTTGAACATGTCAAACAGTGACAGCAGATACTTTATCCAAATTATTTTTGTTTCTATTATTATTTTTCAAATATATTAACAGTTGTCACGCCGCAGGCATATTAACTTAATTTTAGAAAATAATAAAAAGATAACTAAAATAGAGAAAATGGCAACCATTGTCAAACAATTTACTTTATACTGATATGGTTATTTTAAACTAATATCTTAATGTAAAAATATGTTATTTGTAAGTTACCCATTTACTAGCATTTTTCCACTAAACTAAGTTACTGACTTCCGCTGCCTTGTTTGGATTAGGCAGTCACTTCTAGTTTAGTGTATAAGCAACGTTATCGATTCTGAAATGTACTTATATCTTGCCTTTCAGAGTGTAAAAGCTTATGGTTATTTTAAACTAATATCTTAATGTAAAAAATATTTTATTTGTAAGTTACCCATTTACTAGCATTTTTCCACTAAACTAAGTTACTGACTTCCGCTGCCTTGTTTGGATTAGGCAGTCTCTTCTTCAAATCACATATTCGTTGCAATAGCTAAGACTTTACATGAATATACTTGCCTTTCAGAGTGTAAAAGCGGTGGCAACTGTAGTTCTTTCAGCGACATTTGGACGAATAAACAGCTTAAAAATAATCCACAGCAAATTTAGCAGCGAACGTCCAACTGAAGCTTCAGCAGCGTGGCATTGTTGTTGTTTGAGAGGTGGTTGCTATGATACCGATGGACCCTAGAAAAGACCTTCCGTTTATAGGCGCCCAAATTGTGCCTGTATGAACAATAATATGTGACTTCATCGTCTAAAACATTATAAGTGTCGCATTAAATTCGCTTATATGTGTTAATGTATGAATACGTTATTTGGTAAATATTTATAATGTTTAAGGCGCTAGGATGATATAACATATGTATTTTTTTTTCATCACGGCAGTGAACGCTAGTGCTATTGGATTACACCACCGAGTGTCTTGTTTTTCTAAACCCGTTTGTTTTTAAGACCGACGAGTGCTTGTTGAAAACAATGTCTTGTTAGAGTTAAATGTGACGTTGATTTTTGAATATAATGCACTTGTTTTTAACAGTAAACTTAAAACTTTAGCAGTAAAAATGTAACATTAATTTACTAAAATTAATATATTTATAAAAAGACAAACCACAACAGCGTTTAATGTATTAATACTTTATTATAATAGTTTAACACGGAAAACGAACAGTACTGTTTAAATGCAGTTAATAAAGCAAACAACTGCTTCACAGACCCAACAGTTTAGGATAAGGATTAAGTTACATGAAGTCTGTTACATAAAAAGCTGATAGAGGCTGAATTATATGCAAACACTTGTGAAATAGATTTTCATCGTCACACGTTTGAATTAATGACAGTCGCTGATTCGAGACGCAACGAACACGGTTTGCTTTTGGCCTAAATCGAGTAACGTATATACATGCTCAAGCGATCGAATTAGGAGTTGTGTTAAAAAACTACAAATCCTAGACTGCGTTTTACAGCCGCGGCTGAATTGGGTATGGGTCATGTAGTTGATGGCACTTCCCTCGTGTCAGCAGCGTGCACTGCGCAGGGCTTTGTGTTCAACTACAGTACCCACACGCCACTGTAGAGCCGCTGTTATCCGGGGATATCTCACCGCTGCTGTTTCTCTCCTTAGTCTAGCGCTCTCTGCTTTTTAGCGGATTGGCACAATAGGGGTAGGATTACTAGAGGAATACAAAAACATAAGCAAAAATGGCAGAGCTTGGAGCGGGGAGCCTGCTAACAGGAGATCCTGCTTTTAATTATCACGAGCATGAGCTAAACGAGCGTTTGAAGCGGCTGTACCCGGCCGTGAATGAGGAAGAGACCCCCTTACCCCGATCTTGGAGCCCCAAGGATAAGTACAGCTACATCGGGCTCTCACAGAATAATCTGCGGGTGCATTACAAAGGTATACAGATGTGACACACGCTGAACTGTCAACCCGTAGGCCTTGACAATCCCGGCTGGTTCGCTGCACTCGAATATATGCAATCTCCCCGATCTAGTTTGAGCTGCTTTTTTCCGTCCCCTTTGCTTTGTTACATAGAAGGAAAGAGGAATGTCCAAATGGGTTGACATTTAGCAAACCATCATGACAGAATTCGGCTAGCGAGAGTAGCTTGGGGCATAAGCACGGCTGGAGTGTCTAGCTTTTGGACACCTACCTTTTACCTATTACCATGTAATAAACATCAAGTGTTATTGATTTGCCGAGCTTGTTTTGGAACTCCCTTTCGGTGAATTAGTCGAGGTTGGTGCTAGCTAGCCACGGCAGGGCAATAAGGGCAGCTAAGCAGCTACACCATTGCAATGAGCTGCAAATGCTTGTTAATTTCCTCCGCATTGCATACGTGTGTTTGTGTATCAGTTATCGGGTGATTTACATAAGGACGTGCGCCGCATCACAACGAAACAAATCACTGAAAATGGTTTTTGGTGCGCATTTGTGTTGACGAATGAATCGAATCCGAGCGAATCTTTCGAAGCGCTGAATTCATCGCCATAATAATGAATTCGCATTCCACAACACTAGCTGTTCAAACAGTTGTGGCGTTTCGAATGACCCTGTCGCCCCAGGGGGTCTGTGAATTTACCCAGTGCAGATATACTACTCTTTTTATTTAACAACTGTGTACATGCTTCTAGAGAATGCATAATAAAGCAGTCTGTTTTACGAACTACCACTAAGCACAATATATAAGCTTTTAGTGGGTATGTTTTAAAAAGATTCTTTCAGGTTAACTGGTATCTGTTTTTAATCTTGCTAGCACTTATTTTTTGATCACTACTGAGTAACCCAACAGTGACTGCTGTCTTTTCAATTTCAGTAGACATACAGTCGTCATTCCAGTAGTATCTGTTTAATTAGTCCCTAGAACTTATATATTATTTACAAGTACTTATTATTTTGCCACTAGTTACTGTCCCAGTAGTGCCAAATAACTTCCATTGTTCTTGGTAAAAAATTATACATTTTTGCCATTTTGAATTCTATGAAAATCTGGTGGACATATCAAATATTTATTCCTGTCTAGTACTGTATGTATTGTAATTGTTTCTGGTATCTATTCCAGTTTACTAGTAAAAATTTGTTAAGTACTGTTACTTATTCATTAGTTAGTTGGAACAATATAGTTGCTAGTATACATTCCCGTTTTCAGAGTGCTAACTGATGCTAGTATGCATTTACTAAACAGAAGTGTGTGTTACAATTAAACCTTCTAGTATGATAATTAATTGAACTATAAAGTATAGCTTTCCTGACTAGCCATTAAAACTGACATTGTAAAAGCAATTTAAAGGGGTCATATGATGCGATTTCAATTTTTCCCTTCTCTTTGGAGTGTTACAAGCTCTTGGTGCATAAAGAAGATCTGTAAAGTTGCCTAAAAAAGACTAAAGTCTCAAATCCAAAGAGATATTCTTTAAAAAAGTTAAGAGTCAGCCACGCCTACCTAAAACGGCTCGTTCTAACACGCCCCCACGTGTCTACATCACGATGTGGGAAGATTTGCATTACATCGCCCAAATGTTCACGCAAAGAAAGAAGGCGTAACTTTTATTCTCGCTGTTGCCGCCGCCGCCATGTTGTGGAGTCGCTGTGTGTTTCGTTGTGAAAGTGAAACTACTTTGTTTGGCCTTCCAAAAGAGGACACAACTAGAAATCAGTGGTTAAGTTGTATTTACAACACCGTTCCAGAACAGTTCAACCCCAATATTCCGATGTGTGCTGCGCATTTTACGGAGGATGAGGACTGTTTCCTGAACCTGCAGACTAGCCTACATTGCGTCTGTGCTCAAAGGCTGTTCCTATAAAGTGGGGCAGTTCCAACTTTGCAAGGACAGTCTGGCGCTTCTGACTCAGAGCCTGTAAGTACGTTTTTTATATTTAAATAATTTGCGAGTTTTGAGCAGTGTAGAGTAGGCTTGTTGTTTATTGTTTCTCCGATCACAAATGCAGACATGGTTTAATGTTTACGCAGCGCGATACGCAATGCGTAAAAAGACAGTATAAGTCATTATAATCAGTAATTATGTCCCCACTGGATGCAACAAATGCCTCGTTTGTAATGGGTTTTTATTGGTTTTGTCTCATCTAGTGATGTCCGGATCGCGAACGAATCGTTCTATTTAACCGGATCTTCTTAGTTAACCGGTCGAACCAGATCACCAAATCAAACTGAATCGTTTGAAACGGTTCGCGTCTCCAGTACGCTCTAATCCACAAATTACTCAAGTTATTCGGTTTATAAATGTGCTTGACACTCCCTCAGACTCGAAATAAAACAATATCCCAAGTTATTCAGTTACTCCTAACAGTACATTGACTGAACTGCTGAAAGAGAACTGATGATGGGATGTGCACGAGCAGAGTAGCTGGACTGAGTCTCGTCCTGCTGGGAGACAGCATCACAGTATGTTAAGGGGCGTAACATTTCCGTCACACACTTGAGGCATTCACAATGCACTGGATAGCTGGCCAATCAGAGCAAACCTCGCTTTTTTAGAATGATGAGCTTTGTAAAAATCGACGCGTTTCAGAAAGGCGGGGCATAGAGGAGAAACAATAATGTACATTATATGGAAAATAATGTGTTTTTTTAACCTTAAACCGCATAAACACATTGCATTACACCAAATACACAAAATAATGTTATTTTTAGCAACGTCATATGTAGGGCTGGGTATCCACTCAAATGAAATACGCTGTGTTTCCTGCCAACTGGCAACCCGGGGTGCCGAAATACAATTGGGTAAACTGGCAGTGGGCGGGTTTCACAAACCAAAACAGAGACCGACATTCCGGCCCGGAACGCACATTTTCAAAGGAGAATAACTGACTGTAGCATTGTTTTTCAGATAAACAAATATGTTAACTTAGCATGTTTCTTAAATATCTGCAAACATATTATGGTATTTTTATGCTTTAGTAGAGTCAAAAACTTACATACAGCACCTTTAAACTAGTGTTATTCCATGTCATAACAATGAGCTCTTTTGTTGTTTATTTTGAGGGGACAGCAAATTTACACTGTTATACAAGCTGTACACTCACTACTTTACATTGTAGCAAAGTGTCATTTCTTCAGTGTTGTCACATGAAAAGATATAATAAAATATTTACAAAAATGTGAGGTGTGTACTCACTTCTGTGAGATACTGTATGTGAATTATTAGGTTTGTAAAAAGGCTTTGTGTTGTCTGACAGATTACAGAAATGTTACTGACATGTACCCTGGTTATTTTTAGTTTAGGCACAAATGCTGTTATAAAGCACCTAATTCTGATTTGATGGTGTGTGTGTCTGTGGGCCTGTTGTGCAATACTTTAGGATGGTTACCATTTTAGGGACACTGGTGTGTTCATTTTATTACATGTTCCAGTTGACAGCTGTTTGTGTCAATGCTCAGGCCCAGTGGGAAGTTTATCCTTATAGTTTATTTCATTCCCTTTGAAACATAAATGAACAATACTGCATTATTTTGGTAATGTACACTGCTTTGTGTCTGTGGAAAATTGTACCTCATTGGCAACTATCTCCTTTCAGGCTATGGGTATGTTTACCACTTCAGAA